CTACTCCCTGATGCTACTTCTCGCTTTCTTCCCCTTCTCTGTTGAACTTCTTTAAAAATTAGTCCACACATGCTGCTTCCCCTTCCGGATTCTTGCCTCCTTAACTTCTTGTGGCCTGGCTTCTGTTCCCTTTTGCAAGTGCTCTTCCCCAAGTCAATTCCATTGGCCTTGGTTGAGTCCTCGGTTTTTCAATGTCTCCACAGCATTTGATCTTGCTGCAACCTCTTCCTTCTTTGTCATTTGACCAGGCATTCCTGACTCTTCTCCCACTTCCTGCCTTGTGCCTTCTCTACAGTTCATTGCTTTTGTAAATCTTCCTATATATTCTTCCAGAGGTTCATCCTCACCTTCCACCTCCTTCCCCATTGTCAGTTGCTTTCCAGATCTCTAGCCCCAGTCCCAATCTTTCCTTCTTTTTTTTCTTTAACATACTTCCAAGCAAGTATATTATCTTTAGCATGGTAATATATGTGTGACAAAACATTTGCCATTTTAAGTATACCATCCAGTTATATTAATACCATTCACTGTGTTACGTAAACATTACCACTATCCATTTTCTCCCTATCCAGAAACTCAGTGCTCCTTAGGTAATAATTCCCCATTTCCCAAGCCGCTCCCCCAAAGTTTAAACTGTCTGTCTGTGCATTTGTGTATTCCAAGTATTTCACACAGTAACATCATACAATAGTTTTATTTTGTGATTGGCTTCTCTCACTGAACACAATGTGTTTTCAGGTTTCATTTCTGTGTGGTGAACCTCAAAACTTCATTTCTCTTAATGGAGACATAATGCCCTGTTGTATGTACCACATTTTGTTTCTCCATCTGTTGATTGCCATTTGGGTTGTTCACACTGTGTGGCTACTGCAAACAGTGCTGCGATGAATGTGGGCATACAAGTAGCTCTTTGCATTCCTGGGTTTTGGTATATACCTAGCAGTGGACTTGCTGGGCAAGTATTGTATTGATTATTTGAGATCCCTTGGACACCTGTAGCAGGTGTGAAGCGATGATTGTGAGCACATCAGGTACAGTGTCTCACCTATAAAGCTGATTGTTCTCATGGAGTCAATAGATATTAATCAAAATAATGACACCAATAGATTGAAAAGCAAGCTGAGTTAAGTATTGTGTGGACTTAGTATAGGAGGGCAGTACTTTGAGGAACCTGGAGAAATATGCTGAAGAAATAGTGAGCTGTGGTCAAGAGATAGAATAGGGGTTATTGCGATAGAGAGGAGGGGCTGGGGGGCCAGAGAAAGAGCAAGTGAAAGGCTTTTGGTTCCAGTGTGATCAGAGCATTGGGGAAGTCTGGTGAGGGGTAACGCAGGAGAGGTAGGTGGTGGCTAGATGGCATAGGTCTCATTGAACTTGTTAAGGACTTAGGGTTTGAGAGTTCAGGGACGTGAGGCTTTCAACGTGGCATAGCAGAGGTTTCAGAATGATAGCTCTGTGTTTATAAAAGATCATTGTGACTAGTGGGGAGGAAAAATTATAGGGGAGCAGATGTGAGCACCAAGAGACCACTTAGGTTGTTGGCTTGGTTCAGAGAAGTTGCTGGTAGACATGGAAAGGGTGATAGATTGGAGACTGATTTGAGAAGTGGACCTGAGAGATTGGACTAAGGATACTTTTGATCTTAATCCAGAGAGTGACTCATAGGTTTCTAGCTTTTGTAACTGGGAGGGTGGAGTACCAGCCACCATGATTTTAAAAAAATCCTTGAGGAAAGATAATAGTTTGGAGAGAGAAGAAGGCATGGTTATTTCTGGACATCTTGAGTTTGAGGTGCTTTTGGAACTTCTTCAAGTTCTGTGTTTCAACTACTTCCAGAATATCTGTATGTGGTTAATGCATCATAACCTTAAACTCAGTAAGTCTAAAATTGACAGTGCTCTCTCTCTCCAAAACCCCATCCTGTGTGTCTTGCATCTCTTGGTGGGACCATCCTAATCCTAGCTACCTGATCCTGAATTGGAGTCATTGCTGACTCTAACCAGTTGCTCGACAGACTCTTAGACCTTCTTCTTTGCTTCCTGCCTCAGTTACTCTCCTGTTTTGGGTCCTCATAAACTCGCCCTTGCACCAAAGCGTTCGCCTCTGTGATTACTGTGTGTGGCCCCTCCTATTAAATCCACACTGCTCAATATTTTAGACGGATCCTCATGCAATGCCTTTCTGGTCACGCCCTTTCTTTTCTTAGACTGCCTTCCACAGGCTCCAGCCTCCCCAATCCTACTCTTCAGGTAGTTCCCCAGACACACCATTTTTTAACAGTTTTGACACATAATTCGCATACTGCACAATTTAGTAATTCAGTCTTATTAAAAGGAGTTGTCCAATCATCACCACAATCAATTTTAGACCATTTTCTTATTTTCTAATGTCTTGTAATCATTGTTATGAAATCCCCATTTCCCCCTAACTTCCTTGCTAGACCCCCAAGAAACCATTAATCTAGGATCTGTCTCTATAGATTTATCTCTCCTAGATTTCAGAGACAGAATAAATACGAAAAACAAAACCAAGCAAACCAACCCAAACCCAAACTCTAGCAACAAGAAAATAAAGCAGAAAACCTCAATAAAAAAGAAAGCAGAAAGTATTAAAAACTAGAACAAATTTAAAGGGAGTCAAAAGGGGATCAAATGGTAAGGTAGACACCCTATTTTATTTTATTATTTATTTATTTTTAATCATTTTATTGGGGACTCTTACAACTCTAATAATAGTCCATACATCAATTGTATTAGGTACATTTGTACATATGTTGCCATCATTTCCAAAACATTTTCTTTCTACTTGACTTCATGTATAGGTTTATGTAACTGGCACCAATAATCTGTCATCTCAAGCATTCCCTCATAATCATTCACTCACTGCCATTGAGTCAATATATTCTTAGGACCAGTCTTTGTCTTATATTTTTATTTGTGTTAAATAAATACACAGAAACATACATTAGGGTGCCTCAAAAGTTCTTGGTAAATTGAATTAAAAGAACATGAACTGTTTCCCTCAAAATGGATGTCTCAACCTGGCCTGATTTTCACTGCCAACAGAGTAACAACTACACACCAGGGTACAACTTTGGGTAAACTTTAGCCATTTCTACCTTTATAGATTTGATGCTGACTCACAGCAACCCTGTAGGACAAGCTAGCACTGCCCCTATGGGTTTCCATGACTACAACTCTCCGGTAGTAGAAAACTGGATCTTTATCCCTCAGAGTGGCTCTTGGTTTCAAACTGCTGACCTTGTGGCTTCTAGAAGCCCAACACATAACTACTATGCTACCTGCCCCCCTATAGCCATACCCTCCATCTTCACAGCCCCTGGCAGCCATTTCCCTGCCCCCCATCTCTCCAATTTTGTCACTTTCAGATAAATGAAATCATACTGTATGTGACCTTTTGAGATTGGCTTTTTTCACTTCACTATGATGTCCTTACAATTCATCCAAGTTGCTGTGTGTGTCAGTAGTTAGTCTAGGCTACCATCATCTTCCAGCTTTGTGAATTTCTAGACAAACCAGGAACTAAATTCCTATTTTTTGTATCATATCTTAAGAAGAAGCATTTAAAGTAAGAGAAAACAACCAACTTTTTTTTATCCTTCCCAAGGGAAATTTTTGAAGAATACAAATTCAAGCAATGGCTTTTTCCTTTTTATTGTCAAAACCCAAATTTGGTGTCAAAAATATGTGACCTTTCTGTCTTCCTTCAGCTGAATGTATATTTTACATTATTGCAGTCACGGGTATTGTGGATGCTGCTTTTTTCCCAGTTAAGTTGACTTTTCCATGTGCCATAATTATTGAGATAGCTGCATGCCTCTTCCATTTTGTTTGCTGACTCTCATTTTCTCTACCCTGATGTCCGCCTCCAGCGCCTTTAAGCAGTTTATGCACATTGCTTTTCTCCTTATGTTGAGTGATAGTCAAGATAAATACTAGGCAGTGAAATAATTTGGTCAAAGAAAAGGAACATTTAGATGTGTGTCATCAGACCTTAACTTGAATATCAGCACTGCTCCATATTCACTATCCAAGATACTGGAAAGTGTTACAATTTCGGATGCCACATTGGAAAGTAGATTTTCTTATGTCTTAGATAAAATGAGACAGTGTATGTCAAGCCCCCTCCCTATTGTAGGGCCAGGCACAGAAGAGGGATTCTGTTGTGATAGGCTTGATGTGATGATTGCTGTATGACTCCATGCATGGCTCTATCCTGCTAGCATTCGATGGATCAGCTACCCCCCACATTGAAAAGTGCTGCTCTATGTCAAGGATCATGTGCTTTGGGAAATGAACCGACGACAGAAACAGGAGCTCCTTCCAGATGCAGGTTTCTCATTTAATACAGGCATGTAAATGCATGGCTGAAAAACCAAAATGAAGCCAGTGGTGTAGCAACAGCCCATGTCCAGCCATGGGACTGCGGAAGAGGAAGTGGCCTGAGCAAAGTGGGAAGCAAGGCTTCCTCAGCAGTGAGCCCTGCTGAACCAGACCCTCAGCAATGGGGAGAATTTAGGGAGATGGAAAAAGATAGATTGTCCCAAGGCAGGTGAACGCATTGGACAAAGCACACAGGCCTGAGTGTCGACAAGATGTTGGAAAGAAGACTCAGTGGTGTTCAGTGTTGTCACACTGGTTGCCATGGAAGAGAAGTCTGCAGAGACCCATTGTCATGGGGGCCCTGGAATTTTGTAGCCTGGTGTGTAGTTGTTACTCTGTTGGCATTGAAAATCAGGCCATGTTGAGACATCCATTTTGATTGCACAGTTGGCTCCCTTAATGCTTTCTCTTTCACGTGTGATCTAGGTCACGTGTTCATTCACAAAGGGCCAACGTGAAAATTGCCCTGAAAGCATGTGGTGGTAGTGGTAGAGTAGTATTTTTAGATATGTTTTTGATGTAACTGTATCAAATATATTTGTTTGTATATATTTAATACCTTCAACATTACTTACTTTGTCTTTTTGTCCATTACAGGATTCTGCTCTAATACTTGATGTTCCTCTGGGTGTGATCTCAAGAATTGAGAAAATGGGAGGCGCGACAAGTAGAGGAGAAAATTCCTATGGTCTAGATATTACTTGTAAAGTAAGAGACTCAATGCTTTCTTACTCAAAGAAAAAGGCACATGAGTGTTGAATGATAGTAGAAAGTCTACATGGGTTTCAAAAGAGATCATAAAGTCCCTTGTCCATCTTAGATGCTGGAAATAGCTCTTCAAACTTTTATTCGTGCTCGAGCTTTCCAAAATGGTTGAGGCAGAGAAGACCATGTTTCCCAGAAAGTCAGAGATTTGTGGAGGTGGACATGACCAGAAGCAATGGTGGTGGTGGGAAATGCATGACAGGATAGTTCAGCCATGTGCTCAAAGATGAGGTAGGGCGAGCAAGCCTGTCTTCTGTGAAACATGAAGGCTAAGTCCAAGAGAACATTTCCGTTGTAAACAGCATCAAGAGATAATGTTACAGATTATATTTACCAGACGCCACAGAAACAAAGTAAGTTCCTCATTGAGCTGGGTGATTCAAGCCCCATTCTGCCAAAATGGAAGGTGGGGCTCGACAACTGGGCTTTCCCTTGTTTCTCTCTGGGAAAGGAAGCCACAGGACATGAAGGAACCTACTCCTTCCTGCATGGTTTCTCCATTCTCCTTATTTTAAAAAAGGTGATAAAACATTGTCTTTTTTATTAAGATGACTTATTTGCTGTATTCCACTTACACTCTTGGTTCCTTTTAATTTTCTACTAAAATGTGTGTTATTATCTGAAAGTAAATTTTTCTACTCCGTGGTGTGTAAGAGAAACCTTCCTTTGATATTTTACAACCTGCAAAACAGAATGGCCGAGGGGAGTAGTTCCCATGAAATGGATCTGCTGATGTTACTCAGTATGAGGAGTCAAGTTCAGTTGTTCAGCTTAGAAACACTTTATAGATAAAACATTTTTCAACTTTTGAGTTCTTTCTGAAGTCTGTTCCTGGTGTCCCTTGATAAGGAAGTCCCCACTTTATGAAAGGAAGGAGGAGTCCAAGAGTCCTGCCCCTTTGTGAACAGCTCATGTCCTCAGCTCCAACCTTTGTAACTTTTCCCTAGATAATTTTAAAAGGCAGTGGCCTAAAATTTTGTTTCAGGATGATGAGTGACACAGATTTGTTGATAGCCAAGTGTATAGTAGTAACTAGTTTGTTTATAATAGTAACTTTTATTGATGATCTGTCAGTCCAGATACCACCCAGGGGTAGTGGGGCCCCCATCTTATGAGTAGGGAGCCTGAAGATCAGAAGAACTCTGTACATTAGTTAAGGCCACACGAGAAATGGCAAACTTGAGATCCAGTGAGGTAATCGTTTTGTAAACAGTAGAATGAGCCTTCTGACAAGGTCCCTGCCTACTAGCTATTGACTCTCAGAAGCCTACAGTTTGTAGGATAATGTTCAACTCTGGAAAGAGCTGGGAGGGACTTTGGGAGGTCATCTGTTACAGTGATGTCAAGCTGAGCTAGGCACCAAGAGGACCTTGGAAACTATACAATGTAGATCTTTGGGTTCTGTACCAAACCCAACTATGAGATAGGCCCTGAAGGTTTGGACCCACAGGTATGGGACTTTAAAGCATCTGTGATGACTGAACCATTCATCTAGTTGTCAAACATTCTGTAAAGGGCCCCATAAGCAGTCTATTAGGCTTGATGGGTTCCATTGGAACTCTTTCACATACTCCTCTTTGTGGTGATGGTGGTGGTGGTCTTTCTATAATCCTTTAAAACTTGAAAACACATTCTTAGCTCAAGGGCCATAGAAAAGCTCACCTACAAGAGATTAAGTCCTTCATACTCCACATGGGAAAGGAAGCCTTGGCAAAATGAAATTACTTGTCTGGGATTACCCAGGGAGTCAATGGAAGAGTCTGAGTTAGGGCCTAAGTCTCTTTTCCCTAGTTTCATGCACTTTGATTTTTAAAAAAAACAAACACAACTCTGTTTATGTTAGTATTATGAATACAATAGCATGTTTGATCTTGGCTTCATAAAAGATTACGACTAATCCATCCTGGCATGGACCAAAGGGTTATTTTATTATTAAACTTGAGTTGCAATTCCCCATTACTTCCCACCTTAATTTTTCTGTTTCTGTTTTGATGTATAAGCTACCTTACCTACAATCCCAGCTACTGTCTACCCTTTGGGGTATATATATATATATATGGAGATTCCCTTATTAAAATTATTTTGTATTGTAAATATATATATCACAACTTTGCCAAATTAACATTTTTTGCATGTACAAATTAGTGACATTGGTTATGTGAAGCATGTTGTGCAACCATCAGCAATATCTGTTGCCTTATTTCTATTACTGTAAAATGGGGATTTTTCTTTTAAGGAAGGTTTTTATCTGTGGCATTAAAGGGCCCCTGACATGTAGGGTTGTAGTAAAGTAAGTACCCGAGCAAAATGAATGTGCTAGTTTCATGATTCTGAAGTATTTCCTATAATTTGTAAAAATTCTATTGCCTGCATTACAATTGGGAAAAACGTAGTAAAATATTGATTCCCTCCCCCAAATGAATAAGACAAAGCACATTCCTACCCTTTAACTAAAGGTTTCTGAACAAATCAAAGGGTAGTTGAATGGGCTGAGGGTCTACGGATAGGCTCTTTCCCAGGCATACTTCCTGGTGGTTTAACCTCAGAAATCTCAGGTGGAACTTACTGCTTAGTATGTACTCTTATTTCCGGTAAAGATTTGGTAATCTGTTGCCTGTGAGTCATTTGGCTTTTCTACTTCAAATTTCTTAGCGGAAAGATGGACTACTCATTCCTTCTCCCTTTTAATTAGGTCTGAATTGGATGGCAAAAAACAGTTGCTTTGAATTATTTCTGCCTTGGCGCACTGAAAGTAGTTGTTAGAATTACTGATGGAGCAAAATAAATATGTATTGAAAAATGACCTCATTTATGACCGAGTTGCTAGGAGAATGATGTTCCAGAGTTATCCGTTGACGCATGACTATTAGGCAGAAAGTTCCTCACAGGTCCGTGATCTCAGAGGGCTCTTGGCTAATAAAGTCCTATACTTTCTAGCTGCTGAGTAACCGGGCTTATTAAAGACAGCATTTCATCGGAACACCTTTTTTCTTCTATTCGATGATTGCTCTGCATCATGGGCCAACAACGAATATTTCTGATTTCTGCAGGTAAATTTTGGTAAACCACTTTAAAGAGGATGTATCCGTTGTTGGACTTCTTCTGTTCTTTTCAAAATGAAAGCACAAAATTCTAGAGCTGGGAAGGACCAGGAGTCACCATGTGTAGCAGTTGGCATTTAAAGGAGCCTCTTTAGTGCAGAAGGAGCCCTGGTGCAGCGTGGCTGCTAACTGAAAGACACCGGGTTTGAACCAGCCAGCCAGCAGCTGTGTAGGAGAAAACTGTGACAGGTCCACTTCTGTACAGTCTCCACCTTAGGGCACCCGATGGGCCACTTCTGCACTGTTGCTGGGAGTTGATATCGATGGCATGGCCAGTAGTATTTTATTGGCTTCAGTTTCAAGAAAGGTGTTTAACCTTGAGTTTACCAAAGATGTATGTACTTGAAGCTACTTTTTAAATCTGTTTGGGGTCCTTAAATTTTAGATCCTGGAAGCAGTCATTCCGAGAGGTACCTTATGTGCTCTATATAGAAAGTAAAACTATATCACTTCAATGGTGCAGCCACTGTAAAACCAAACAAAAACAACAACAACAAAACCAGTGTGCAAGTTTCTCAGAAAGTTAAACAGAATGGCCATCTGACCCAGCAATACTGTCCTAGGTACACACCCAGAAGGCTTGACCACAGGGCCTCAAGCGGGGTTCGCTGTAGCACTGTTGACAGTAGGCAAAAGGTAGAAACAGGCCAAATGTCCATCAACAGATGCCTACTGCCTTCCCAACACTTGGGCCCTCCTTTCAATGAAGCACTACTCTGTTCTCAGGGCCAATGAAGTCCTGATCCGTGCTCTCACATGGATGAGCCTGGAAAACGGGATGCTGAGGGAACCAAGCCAACCATCAAAAGACAAATACTGTATGATCCCATGTCTTTGAAATATTCCAAGTTAGCTAATACACAGAGACCAAGTTTATCGGTGGGTACCAGGAGTGGGAGAACGAAGGCAGGGGGAGTTGCTGCTACTGTGAAGGCTAATGGATCTTTGGAAACTGGGTAATGGTGAGGGTTGCACAATATAATGAACATAATGCCCTGAAGTGCATGCGCAGGTCAAAAAGGTTGGGATGGTGCATGCTTTCATTTTGATAGCTTTACCAGAATACATTTAAAATACATGCTTTAGAAGACTTGCATAAGAGTGTACAATGCCACTCCTTTTCTACTTTTCAAAATGATACTCGAAAGCAAAGGCCTGAGAGGAGAGGGAGAGAGCGTGTGGATTTTAATGGTAGGTTTGCAATCAAATGCCCCCAAAGCCAGGTAAAGAAGGTAGACACTTGAGAGCAGGTGCGAGGCAAGGTTAGTGCACTCTTCTTGTGGAGTGCATTTTAGCTCTGTCCTCTGTTTACCTCTCGTTGCTTTGTCCTGGCTTTACATTTATGCCTACAACGGGACTATTTTTCAGATGTTCTTGAGTCAGACATTTGAAATGTTAGGGCAAACAAAGGTTTTTCTTGGGTAGACTAGATCGGTTGCCCTTTCAGGTAAGTGGAAGAGGTTTTTGCTCCTGAACATGACTGCATTTGCAGACTGAATTGTCCCAATTCTCCTTTGCCCGCAGGACATGAGAAACCTGAGGTTCGCCTTGAAACAGGAAGGCCACAGCCGAAGAGACATGTTTGAGATCCTCACCAAATACGCATTTCCCCTGGCACACAGTCTGGTAAACTTCGGGGCTCTCCTCAGCATGGGTTGTGCATGGGGCCCGTCGCTGGGTTTTCTCCCCTCTGCTGGTCTGGGTCACACAGATGGCTGCACCTCAGTGCTTGCAGGACTGATCAGAGCCTGGTGTGTGCCCCAAAGCGTCACTTAGAGAAGTGTGGGCTCTGTCACCCAGGCGCGCTCTCCGCCAGGGCCAGCCCTCTTTTAAGAAGGCAGCAGTAGTGAGGCAGAGTGGTCAGCCCTGGACCATCATGCCCTAGACTCCAGTGCTGCCAATGTGGCAACTCACATGTGATGCATGTCAGGATTTTCTGGCTTCGTTGGAAATAGGAAGAAATCATATGAGCTTAAATGCCATGTAGGCGAAGGTGCTTTTCAAATGCAGATGTGTATGAGAGATAGGTCTTGCAGAGAGTATCTGAATAGGGTGAGTTTATCTCTTAAAAGCTAACATTTCAAATATAATTTGGTAGTATTTAGTATAGATTGGGCAGGATACATTTATTATGCATTGAAGTAGTTACAGTATGATGGAGTCTAGAAAGTGTGTTGTGCACATAAACCTTGGCCTTCCTATTTATTATACTGTTGGATTAGTCTTCCTTTATTATTATTTTAGCCATGTGACTAAAATAAATCTTTCCAGAACTCTTGCTCTTAAAATTGGTTTTCTTCATACTTAGTCTCAGGCTTGGCCACCTTTCATTCTGTCCTGCTCTGCTTCTGTCTTCTCACTGCCCCACTCCCTCCCCCCCAATCTTTTGCCACTGCCTCCAGTTGACACTAAACAAACAGAGCCACACACAGAGACCCACATTCTGTAAGATAAATGCTTGGGGTAGGTGTGCTGCCAGCCAAACTGAAGGTGATGAAGGACATCATTAAGCAGAAGACCTGCTTTATATTACAGCTCTTCTCCCTGTAGCTGGCCAGCTCTTCTCATTTTGGTTTGGGTTTTTTTTTTTTTTTCATTTCTTTTTTTGCAATAAAAGGTTATGGTTTATTTTTTTTTAGTGAAACAAGTTCTCTCCCTCATATTTTACTAGCAGTTGTTTCAGTCAAAGGAAATTCATGATTGATGGCCAATTACCCAAAGCCTAGTAGGTCTAGAAATATTTATACCAAAAAAATTAAAAGCCAGCCTCTCTGCCATCAAGTTGATTCCAACTCTGGGCTCTATAAGACCGAGGAGAACTGCCCCTGGGGGTTTCTGAGATTTTAAATCTCTGTAGGAGCAGACAGCCTCAACTTGGTCTCATAGAGAGGCTAGGGGGTGTGAACTGCTTCCTTTGAGGTTGGCAGCGCAACACATAACCCGCTGCAGCACCAGGGCGCTTCTGAAGTGCTTATGTACCCAAAGCAAACTCCCTGCCATCAAGTCCATTCTGACTGACCCATGGGTTTCCGAGACCGTAGTTCTTAGGGGCCTCATCTTTTTGTTCCCGAGGAGCAACTGGTGATTTCAAACCACTGATCTTTTTGTAGTTAGCAGCCCAATGCGTGCCCACTACACTACTAAGACTCCTTCCAAGTACTTATAGGGTGGTTACAATTTAAAATGTAGTGCTTGGTATAATATACAGTTAAAATCGACATTTTGTATGTAAGGCACACACATACATGAATATATACAGTTGTACTCCCATAGTATAGTTAGAATATATTTTCAAACTTCTTAGTTTTAGTGAAATATGTGACTTAAATATGTTTTTATATTAAACGTTTTTTAGCTGTTAGGATGAGAAGATTTCCATGAAAAGGCATCTTCTAAATTATCATGAAAGCAAGAATTCAAATGTAATTTACAACAGTTCATTTAGAGTTTTGTCTTGGGTTTTGAAGCTCTGCCTTAAATGAGCAGAAATTAAAGACTGACTCACACAGCAGGTTTGAAGAAGTGGTGGTGACAGACTGGTTATGCGTTTGGCTTTCTACTGCTGCAAAAAAATTTACAGTCTTGGAAACCCAAAAGAGGCAGTACTATCCTGTTCTAAAGGGTCGCTGTGAGTCGGAATCGACTTGATGGCAGTGAGAGTTCAGTTATAAGATCTAGGTCCATCAGCCATCCCCTTCCTCTGGCATTAGCTATCTGTCCTGCAGTTTATTCACAACTGACTGTTAGGTGTGAAGTCAGATTTCGCCTTAAGTACAGTTCCATTATTCATATCAGTGCCAACCTTCTAGAAAGAATAGCCTGTCTTCATCTTCAGTTGATTTAGCCTTCCAGCCCACTCTGGTATCCAGGTTTATTGAAGCTACCTCCTTGGAGCTCATGACCTTACTGTCCAAAGCTAATGACTCATTTTAATCTTCTTATCATTCAATTGTTCCCTAAACCAAAAAAAAAAAAAAATAACTCACTGCCAGCAAGTCGATGCAGACCCATAGTGACCTGATAGGACAGGGTAGAATTGTGCTTGTGGTTCTCCAAAACTGTAAATGTTTATGGAATTAGAAAGCCCCATCTTTCTCTCAGTCGCTCCCTAGCATTCAACAATTGTAATTTCCCTCTTCTTCAAAGTCTTCCAACTTGACTTCTGCGTTACTGCACTATCTCAATTCTTTCTTTTCAGTCGCCCTTGCCTCTGTCTTTCCCAGAAAAAGAAGCTTCTTAGCAATTCTCTGCTTGCAGCCATCTTCTTATGTTATTCCCTTCCCCATGGTGATTTCAGCCAGTGGCTGAAGCTATTCCTAGTGGTGCTTTGGTTACTTGCTCAGCTGCTAATAGAAAGGTGGGCAGTTAGAGCCACTAGCTGCTCTGCAGAAGAAAGATGAGACAGTCTGCTTCCATAAAGATTACAGCATCCGAATCATCCCAAAAGCAGTAGGTTTTCTGTGTAAATGTCTTCTAAATCCAGCCTTGGCATTGTTGCTCATGCCTGAAAACTTAAAGTCAACTTTTTCTTACTCTCCCACCTTGCCTTCCTTAGCTATGTCACTTCTAAATCTTGTCAGTTCTACTTTCTAGTTGTTGCTAGAAGGTCATCAAGTAGATTCTTACTTGTAACGAGTAAGTGCATAGATAGAACAGAATGAAGAACTGCCATCCTCACAATTGTTATGTTTCAATGCATTGTTGTAGCCACTGTGTCGATCCATCTCTGCGGGTCTTCCTCCGCTTTACTAAGTATGATGTACTTCTCCAGGAACTGACCTCTCCAATAACATGTCCAAAGAAATTGAGACAAAGTCTTACCATCCTCACTTCTTTTTTTTTTTTTAAACATTGTATTAGGGGCTCATACAACTG